TAAGATGTAACAACGTTGCCTTACACACAGCTCTGGTCTGAGCAGGGCTGTGATCTTCAGCTGCATCATTGGGTCTTTGCTCCAGGTGTTCGTGTGGGACATTCTCACACACTCCAACATGGACTCCATGTTCTCATCATATCTCTTCTCTCTGGAAGTGATAAATGGTAACATGGGGCTGAATTACTAACTGGGAATGAGGGTTTGTTACTGAAGGATTTGGGGCTTTTGTGCTTTACGGGCGATATAGAGGCAGTAGAAAGACTTAGATGTGTGCATGTGGACTGTAGACAGTTAGGTGACAACACATACAGAAAATTTTCATTCATGAAAAGGATAAAAACCTTCATAATTAAACAGCACTCAAGAGAGCACAAACCTCCGCCAGGGAAGGACAATAATAACCTTACACCTCAAAGCAATATTCCCATGACAGTTTGACCCTCATAAAATAATTCTTTGACAATGAAAACATTGCTCTAGCATTTCGAATCACACTGGTATTAATATTAGTTTGAAAGGTAATCCAGAAACATGATATTTCAGTAATGGCAGTTTTCTTCAAGATCTAGCTCCATAACTTCTGAAGATGCATCCAATCTTCTGACACCCTGCTGAATCAGCAGAATCAGATTCATCATATGATCATTTGACACCCAGTTTTAAAATGAGCCATACCCAGTGCTTTCTCCCAGATCCTCTTCGATAGGTACCGCCAGCATGGGCCTCAGTCCCAGCATGCTCATCTTCTCCATGGACTTAGAGATTTCTCTCTCATTCTCTCCAGCCACAAACTGAGCATACACAGTGGGGCGCAGCAGCAAGGAGAACCCCCTTCTCCCCAGGACCGTGCGTGCTATGGACATCAGCTGAAGGAAGGAGGTGAAGAAGGCAGAAGATGTAATTGAGAGAAGGATGAAGATGTGTGAGGTGGAGCATTTTGTCATGAATTCACAGTGTTCAATTTTACACATCAGTGTGGACTCAGCCATGACAACACAGCACAGTCAGTGCAGTGTGAAAGACTGACCAACAATAGAATAAGCTCTCTGTGTCCATGTCTGTTTTAGATATTCTGTCCATTTACTCTTCATCTCATTTTTCTCCAAACGATGATCAAGAGTAATGACCTCAAGTCTCACCTTCCCACAGTTGTTTACCAGCACAGGGAAGGAGCAGAACTGGAAGATACCCAGAGCACGGAGCAGCTCGCCCCAACTCTTAACCCTGAAAGCGCTGGGATCCTTAAAGGCCAGAGGCGCTGGGAGGCGGTTGGACAGCCTGGTGGCCACCATCCTGGGGGCCTCGGTACACAGCAGCCTCAGTGACAAGAGGTGAGGGAGTGAGGGACCCAAACGAGAGCACATCATCCTTAAAGAAGTGTTACGAACTCATATTGCAAGGGGAATGATCTGAAGTGTTTGTATAAAACTTCCTTTCTTCTACAATAATCCAGGTTGTTGGAGAGGCCTTATCAGAGCCAGAGGGGTCAGCTCAAAGGATGTGTTGTTCCTTTCATGTCAGCACCTGTTAGAAGAGGAGAAGGAAAGGATAGCAGCAATGCCTATACAGTTACCAGCATTACTGCATGGTGCTGTCAGTGACTTTACAAGAATGAACCGTAACAATGACTGTATCAGTTACAGAAACACGTTTATTTTTTTAACACAACACAATTTTATGGAGGAAGTCAAAGCAGTTTGAATTAGACGAAATAAATGTATAAAATTCACAATAAAATTGTAAAATTGATAGATAATTAGAAACAGCTTACCCTCCTTCGTGAAAATGGCAGAGCTAAGCAGGTACAACTGAAGGGTTTGCAGGCGGACCAGTAAAATTCATCATTTTTTTTGTCTTACTCAGTGGTTAATAAGTGACAGCTTGGAAATAAATTGTTGAGTAAACAACAAGTTGACCCTTAGCATCAACCCACAAGTGTAGACTACCCCCCCCACCCCCACATCAAAAGCCCATTGTGAAACTTTGGGGATATGGAATAAATTGAGCTGTATAAGGCATTTTGGTAATCTCATCAAAAAATGGATTAAATACAATTATAAGCCTTCAACTCACCGCATTTGTAGTTACAGTTATGTAACAGTTATGTTTTATAAATGTAAAACAGAAAAATGTTTTAGAGATGTTTCTAGGAATGCTATCATTTTTGTACAAGCATTTGCGAATGCATATACACAGTTCCTCTTGTTCTGATGGAAAAGTGGACAAATGGTGCAGAAGGGACCGTTATGTATAAAGAGGGGGTTTAGTTGGAGCACATCTCTCCAAAATGCCCAAGTAAAACAGCTAGGAGAGGAAATGATTAACCGCTACCTGTCACCAGCCATGTCATGAGTCTCTGACCTGAAAGACTGAAAGTCCTCCAACTTCACTCACAGGCCACTCAGATGGGTTACACTGGCACTGCTGACTGACCAGATATTCAGCAGTTAAGGGTTGGGGAGACTTGGGATATTTAAGTTATCATGCAGAAAAGGAAAACTGTATCCTACTTGTGTGTCTATGGAATGTGCCAGTCAGCTCCAAGATATTACATGTGATTAAGCTGCTTCACTGTTGGGAAGACTGGCTGCCAAGGGTCAAGGAGCAAGTGAACAGAGTGGAGTCTTGCACTGGTCTTTATTTAAATAAGTTGGCAAATTGAAGAACATTTGACCCTTCACCTTGAGCAAGTTTGTTGTGCACAAATACCTCGCATGCCAATTCCTGCTCACATGCATTCATAGACTCAAACCTTCTTTAAAGCCATTTCTTGAAGTTTGAATATGTTTGCCTACATTACTGAATTATGCTGAATGCAGACACTGGATGCTGAGGTTCTAGAAATTACAGTGACACCAATAAGTGTATACAATATACATTTTTAATGGATTCTGATATATTCATAAAATGTTACATGCAAAGTAATTAGGGTAAACAGTGACATGCTACAGTACATAAGTACAGTGGTGGGATTACTGGATATTGCTTAAATTTAAATGTCAAAATTACATGTGCTTTGTCTTTGGTCTAGAGGAAAGATGAGGGCAGAGCAGGTGTGTGTGTGCATCTGCATCTATAGAGACAGGAAGCAAAGAGTCTTGGTGGATGGTGGGGGAGTTTTAGTTCGGTCTGCAACACGTGGCTTTTTGTGCTCTCTTTTTGGTCCTACAGCTACGTACTGTATTTGGCAACTGAACAACACTAGGCTTTTTGTAGCAGCTGTATGTAGAGCATTAATACTTGTCAGTTATTTGATCTACCCTTTGGTCTTTTTCATGTAGTTAATACTCTATAAGGCAACATTGCCTTGCACATTCTGGCAGGTCACAATTTTTGGTACACTAAAATCACAGAGAGCAAAATCTAAATACCTCACAGGTAACAGGAAAACAGCTATCAAAATAAAATATGTATTTAAGAAGGATAAAAACATGGCAGTGGCAATGTATTGTAGAAGAAAGTCCTAATTGGATCAGAGAATCTAATAATGATAAACTACATGTCCAGAAATGGTTGTTATAATGATAGCTGTAACATGATAGATAGAATAAATACATATCATGCTAATTAGTGAGCTTCACTGTGTTGAGAAAAAACACAGGACAAATTTTAATGGCAGTACAACTGTATACAAAGTTCATGTAAAATCATAATTACACAAATTCACACCTATCATGGGGCTTCAGGAAAAAGAAGAGAAACAAACACGGGCTCACTATGTAGGTTACAGCAATTATCTGTGCTTGTAGTTTACTTGCTGCTTCCACCCATTTCCAGTCTTTATGTTAAGCTAGGCACACTGTCCTCTGGCAGTAACTTCCTGGAGTCTCCCCACTAAGTGTCTGGCGAGTCACTGACAGTGGCTCAGTATTTGACACAAAGAAAGTCAGTACATTATTTTCATAAAATGTCAGTTTTTTTTTTGTTGTTTTTTTGTTTTTTTGCTTTAACAGACAACTTTTCATGTGATTTGTTCAAAAAGAAATCCAAAGATCTAGATGCTAGCAAAAACAAATATTCTCAGTTTCTGATCTAAAACACTAATTTTTCACAGATGTAATGTTTAAATTGAAATAAATGGAATCACAAAAGTATGAAAGAAAGACATCTTAACTTTTCACACTGCTATTTACAAAACTGGATAAATTTCATCAGTCTGTTTATCATCTGAATTTTTGTAATACACTCACACTTGAACTAATGCTACATATTGCTAAAACCCTTGAAAGCGCTATCGACCTAAAACACAAACATTCCTATATTTAAAATACAGGTCTTGTGCTCATATCCAGGTAGGACCCCTGGGGGTGGGCATGGCCATGCTGGTATTGTCTGTACAAATGCCTGAACGGGATGGTGAGGGATGCGTGAGGGTCCTGACACAGCCGGAGAGGATAGGAGGGAAAGGCAGGATAGAGGGCTGTAGGAGGGGTGGAGGACGGAAGGCAGGAGGAAAGTGAAGTATCCACCTGAGAAAGAAGTGGTGGGTGGTGCCGTACCATATCTGGGCGATAGGGAGCAGGAGGATTGAACTGAGGGATGGCACCTATTTCCACAGGAGGATATGAGGAGGTGGGAGCAGAAGTAGAGGGACTGGGCAGGTTTTGAGGATGGATGGTTGGCGGGAGCGACGGAGCGGAGGAGACAGCCAAGCAAGACGAGGGTTGGAAAGGAAGGTGAGGAAGGGAGGTTGCTGGATGAGTGAAGGAGCAGGGAGGGAAGGCAGCAGAAAGAGAGGGAGGTTGTGTTTGATGGCTCAGATTCGGGAGGTGCAGGGCTGGGTGGGCAGGGCTGGGAGGCACATTGGGAAATGAAAGATTTTGCCTGTGTGGGGGGACTGAGGGAAAGGCAAAAGAAGTGGAAACACCTTGAGCAGTCAGGGCGCAAGGTAACATGGGATGTGGTGGTTGGCTTTGGTTGAGGAGAGGCTGAGCAATAACTGGAGCAGGATCAGGATTTGTAGGCAGGATATTTGGATAGATAAATGCTTCAGAGTTTTGGTCGCTGGGTGAATTATTTCCACTGGTAACAGGTTCATTCTGCAGTGGCTGACTAGGCTGGGTGAGCAGAGAATGAGCAGATATTTGGTCCTGCAGAACTGACTGACATGTGGAAGGTGGGGCAGGAAAAGAAGCGTCAGTTTGAGTGTGGGGGCTGGTCATCTCTGGGATGGTGTGATAGGTGTGGGAGGAGGGAGAAGAGGAGGACAGGAGTGAATGTGGTGAGGAGGAGTTAGAAGGAGGTGGAGTGGGAAAGGTGAAGGAGGTCTGCTGCAGTGAGGGAGTGGCAGAGGAGGAGGAGAGCGTGGGAGAGGATGACAGAATTGAGGGATAGTCGATAGGAGGGATGGAGGGCTGAGGATCGGATGTATCTGAAGAGTCGGGTGCAGGGAGGGAGGAGAAGGAGGAGGGCGACTGAGGAAGAGGAGCTGAGGGGAAAGAGGAGGAGTTGGTCTGAGCTGAAGGGAATGTGGACATGTAGACTGGTTCACACACAGTGCCTGATCTGTAGAGAACAAAAAGGAATAACATATTTTAGCTTTGAAAAGATTTGCTGCTTAATTGATGGACAAAAAGACTACATTCCTGTCTTTCTGCACACCTACCTTTCAATCATACTATTTGCCACCTCACTTGTGTCCTGCATTTCGCTGGTCATGGAGATGCTGATCTCAGACATCTGGGATGCCATGAATGCCTGGCCAAGGTCTAACGACTGCTCTGGAACAAGCGTGTCCTGATAGGATGCTTCCTCTGGTCTGAAGTCGCAGGCGGGGTTGGGTGGTGGTGGCAGAGAGGCCAGAGCGAGGGCCTGCAGGTCAGTGCTGGTGGTGGGCTGTGGCAGAAGCTCAGTTGAGTCGCATGGATCACAGTTCACTGGGAGAAGTAGACAGAGAAGTAATAGTGTTTCAGGAATACTGAGGTTACAGTGTTGTGTAAAATAATGATCTAAACCTGGTGATGCCACATACCACTTTCCATGTTTTCTTTCAAGACATCGATTTTGCGCTTCTGTCTTGCATCTCTTTGTCTAGAGAGAGAGAAAGAATGAGATGATCCACAATATGTGTTTATACATCTCTATTTGTTTCTGTGTGGGCATTTGTTGTGAATTACTTTTTGCTGTTCATGCCATCCTCTCGGAAACCTTTAGCAAAGGGGTTGGAGTTGATCTTCAGCTCTGTGATCTGAAAACAAAAAAAAGGTTTGCATTCTTTCTACCTTATTATCTTAATTTTGTATTTTGCACTGTCTATTGCTGCTCAAAGAAACATGCATCTCTGGTGCATCGTGATTTGCACTCCCAAGAAACATTATCCTTGTTATGTATTAGAAAAATGCAATATAATGGTACCTTGCTGTTCTGGTAGGCAGTGACTGTGATAAACTGCGTCTCAGGGAAAACGAAGGTGTGTTGTTCTCCACCCCACCTCAGCATGTCTCTGGCTTCAATCACATGAACTCTGGGCTGATAGCGATGCAGCGAGTGTAGGATGATCTGGAAAAGACAAAGAGTGATTCAAAATGCACCATAAGGATAACCTTTACTTTAAGTGCTGAAACCATGCTGTGTCAGTCGGTCTGCAGTACTTACATGTCCCTGTGAGTCCAGCGTGTTGTTGGTGAGCTTAGCATAGTGAAAAGAGATTGTGCGGCTCTGCCAGTGAGCACCCGTGGAGGGGGAGTCTGGGTGGATAAAAATCCGGTCTGGTAGTCTTGCTTCTGCCCCGCCAACAGCCTGCCAGCCACCACCTTGGAAACGGTAGCGGGAGTTGTCCGCAGGGATGATGTCAAGGAGGAGAATGTAACGGAGAGATGGATTCAGGCCTGACAACTTCAGCTTCAACCCGGGAAACATCCGTCTAGGAAAATATGGACAGTGAAAAAGTTAGAAATGACATAGTTAAGTTAGTCAGCTCACCTGTTTGTCTATTGTCTTATCAGTACTTAAAAGTAAGGATAAAGACAAAGGTAAGTAGCTGCATGTGCAGAGTGGATTCAAAGGTCAAGCACTCACCTGCCCTTCTTTGTGATGATCATCTCTGTGCCGACTGAGCTGAACTGTTTCCATAAAGATGCGTTCTCCAGCTCCATCTTGACCTCACCTTTTTGGGATTTGGTGGCCTGATCGTTGGGAACAAGGGGAGGGGGCAGCATCCTTGGGGGTAGGGTGCTGGCTGCCACATCACAGGAAGGAGGAAACAGCGGTATGTGGGCAGAAGCGTCCCGCTCTGATTGGACAGTGAAATAATAAAACTTAAAAATCTAGAATCCGCTCTGAAATAGACCTAGGAATCTTGTCTGTGTTGCCACAATTAGTGAAGGACCAGAGGGTTCAACAGAACTGAACTTTCAAATCCAAACTGACAATAACTACCAGATTTGAACAGAAAATACAATTTTTATACACTAAGTGATTTTTTTTGTAAAACTTACCTGTATTGACAGTATATGCCAACAGAATTACATCTAAAAAAAACTAATTTAGTGTGTAGTTACCCTTTAAAGCCAGTACTTACATTAACAGACAATCATTTGGTTGCCAACAAAATAAATCAGCATACATCTGAATAAAATCACAGTCTTGTAATGTAACACATTTATTATAAAAGTTAAGTGTTTGACATTTTAAGGTAAAAGGTTGTGCAGCCACAGCTCTCCAACTCCACATCCCCTGCTAAATGACAGTTTCTGTTACATATGCAGTGAGAGCCTGAGGGGCAGGGATGTTTCTGGCACAGCTTTATCTTGAATAAACATTCCAGATGTTCAGAGCAGTCTCTTTCTCTAACATACATACACACATTCCATCTCACCTCTGTAACAGCAGTCTCCAATCCTCTGTGGTCCCAGAGGTAAACTGGGGAACATCTCCATGGTCAGCATTCTCCTTGTCTGTGTTCGTCCTCTTCACCTGCTGCAAAGTAACATTTCACCTTTCAGCTCACTTTGTCTTGTTCTTTGGCTCCTTGTACAGATTTACTTCAGCTATCTGTAGCTAACAAAGCAACTTGTGGTCTTCTGTTGTACTGGAAACGTCTTCTTTCTTGCCTTTATTTTTGTTCTTTGTCCTCTACTGTCCTTTGGCACAAATGCCCACAGCAGCGATGTGTTCTGCTATATAGGTGTGTGGGGCTTCACACCTGAGGCCAAATGGCTCCATTTTCACATAGCTCTTCATTTGCCTCCCTGTCTCTCCACCTCTTTCCTTATGTCCCTGCTCGATAAACATAAACAACACTGGCCATGTCAAGATGTGACTGGAAATATCTGGGCTTACTTCAGGGTCTGGAAGCAACTTGCTACAAGTTAACCTAGTGAAATGGTCTAAAATGTGCTCCATCATGACCAGCACCAAATTAAAATTTTGCTCAAATGTCTATAATTTAATGATCTTCTATATACAGTACTTTTACTTTTTATACAATTTGTTGCCAGGACTCTGATTTATAATTAAGTATTTTTACATTGCGGTGTTGATACCTTTCATATGCAAAAGGTCTTAATACTTTTTGTGAGTCATAAAATAATGTTGGGAGATGCTAGTCAAATTTCAAATGCCTCTCATATACATACATATAAATCTAGCAGTTTACCGGGAGGTCCCCTGTGGCTGTTTGATGACTTGATGACAGGCCTCTTCCTCTCAGTGGTGTGCTTATTAGGCCTTCTCAGCAGGGAGTCAGGCCTTGAATGAAGGTGGAAAAGGAAGAGTGTTTTGCCAGCAGCTGCAATTTGGCCACTACACAAACAGAGAGCCTAGAAGTTTAATATTTCGGTTTGTATTAAGAGACTGAGCACAGAATTACAGCTGAATTTGTACCAAACATTTCCCAAAACATAAAAGTAGGCTCCTGTTGGTGTAATATTAATTAATAAATGAATAATAATTAATGTTTGTTTCATTATTGAATTATTATTAGTGATGCACTAACATTTTCTGGCATTCCAATGACTCTCTATACCTTTTGATAGTTTAACCTATAGCTGGGCCAGGTTGTATCAAATGATCCTATGTTATATACATTACATTGCCAAAAGTATTCACTTGTCTGCCTTCACATGCAAATGAACTTGAGTAACAACCGATTCTTAATCCATATGGTTTAATATGATCTTGGCCCACCTGTTACAGCTATAACAGCTTCAACTCTTCTGGGAAAGCTGTCCACAAGGTTTAGGAGTGTGTTCATGGGAATTTTTGACCATTCTTCCAGAAGTGCATTTGTGAGGTCAGACACTGATGTCGGACGAGAAGGCCTGAATCGCAGTCTCCGCTCTAATTCATCCCAAAGGTGTTCTATTGGGTTGATGTCAGGACTCTGTGCAGGCCAGTCAAGTTCTTCCACACCAAACTCACTCATCCATGTCTTCATGGACCTTGCTTTGTGCACTGGTGCACAGTCATGTTGGAACAGGAAGGGGCCATCCCCAAACTGTTCCCACAAAGTTGGAAATTGTCCAAAATGTCTTGGTATGCTGAGGTATTAAGAGTTCCTTTCACTGGAACTAAGGGGCCAAGCCCAGCTCCTGAAAAACAACCCAACATCATAACCCCCTCCACCAAACTTTACACTTTGCACAATGCAGTCAGACAAGTACCGTTCTCCTGGCAACTGCCAAACCCAGACTTGTCCATGGAATTGCCAGACAGAAAAGCATGATTTGTCACCCAGAGAACATGTTTCCACTGCTCCAGAGTCCAGTGGCAGCATACTTTACACCACTGCATCTGACGCTTTGCATTGCACTTGGTGATGTAAGGCTTGGATGCAGCTGTTCGACCATGGAACCCCATTCCATGAAGCTCTCTACACACTGTTCTTGAGCTAATCTGAAGGCCACATGAAGTTTGGAGGTCTGTAGCTATTGACTCTGCAGAAAGTTGGTGACCTCTGTGCACTATGCGTCTCAGCATCCACTGACCCTGCTCTGTGATTTTATGTGGCCTACCACTTCATGGCTGAGTTGCTGTTGTTCCCAATCGCTTCCACTTTGTTATAATACCACTAACAGTTGACTGTGGAATATTTAGTAGCGAGGAAATTTCACAACTGGACTTATTGCACAGGTGGCATCCTAATGGCATCCTAACACGGTACCACGCTGGAGTTCACTGAGCTCCTGAGAGCGACCCATTCTTTCACAAATGTTTGTAGAAGTGGTCTGCATGCCTAGGTGCTTGATTATATACACCTGTAACCATGGAAGTGACTGTAACACCTGAATTCAATGATTTGGATGGGTGAGTGAATACTTTTGGCAATATAGTGTATGTAATCATGGAAGAAGTATACAGATTGTTTATTTAAGTAAATGTTCCAACACCACAATGTAAAAATACTGTGCTACAAGCAAAAGTCCTACATTCAAAATAGTACTTAATTATCAGCACCAAAGTACAGCATCAAAATATACTTAAAGGACCAAAAGTTAAAGTACTTATTATGCAGAATGGTATCGTTCACATTAATGTATATTATTGGATTATAAATAATGTGTTGTTGTGTTTATCCCATTTAATGTTGCAGGTGGTAAAGACAGAGGTAATGTTAACTACCTCATATGCTTAAAATTTGAAGTACTTTACATACTCATTAAGGATAAAGTCACAATTATACTGTATTTTGTTAAATTAATCTCATTTTGAAAATTATCTAAAGTCATCAATAAATGTGGTGAGTAAAAAGTACATTTTTTTCTCTGAAATGTAGTTAAGCCAAAGTATAATAATGAACAGATAATGAAAATACTCAAGTACAGATACCTCAAAACTGGACTTAAGTACTTGAGTAAATATATGTAGTTACTCTCTACCTCTGATTCTATGTATGTCTGTGTAATCCTAATTTGACAAGTGGTAACTCTAGCAGAGCAAAAAGTACATTACTTCCAGCTGAAATGTAGTTGAATAGAAGAATAAAATAGTTAAATGGAAATGCTTAAGTACAGTTACCTTAAAATTGCACTTCAGTGCAATACTTTGGGAAATTTATTAAGTTACCTTTCACCATATCATGAGAAAAGAAGTCTCTACTAAGCACAAAATGTTATGTCTTTAAAAAAGGTTACGTTACATCATGAGTAGAGTATCAACAAGATAAACCAGTGGCTTTGTCTTTGTTTGAATGATTTCCTATTTTCTGCCTGAGGATCGATTCTTAGAACACTGACAAACTGGCCCCTTAACCACCTGCTCATAGGTCAGTATAAAAGGAACAGCTGAATTCAGTTTAGAGGAGTGAAGTAAAAATGTTGTTCTAGTTGTTGTTTTCCTTCTCCATTTGTGTACGAGCCTGTGTAGGGGAGAGATAAAAGCTAGCTGGGTCTGAGGGGAAGTGGAGGTGTGAACACCACACTGAGAGTAAGGTCATTACCTCCATGGGGCAGCGAGGTGTGTGTGATGTCTCTTAATGTGTTTACGAGCTGACAGGTGTGTCGCACCAGAACCTTTAACAGCCAATAATGAGGATTGTTACTTTTTGTTTTGTTTATCATTACTGGAGTTGGAGCGAGTAGTGAGTGTTGTTTACCGTGGGCCTGCTCTTTGACATGTATATGCCAGGAGGTTTGCTCACCAAGGTCTAAAGGTCAGGATATGGATTTAATCTATGATGAGAAAATGTAATAAAAAGTGAGTCTTTAAATTCTCATTGTTGGCTCAGATTGCTAAATGTTCTTCCTGTTTGAACAAGCACATAACAGGAGCTTGTCTGATTTTCCTCTATCATGTCTGTCGTTGAACAACAAGCCTTTTAATCTCATGAGGATTAGTGTTTCCCCTGGGTACATTTTGTGGATGCGGAAATTCTCAAAGGCACACTTGATGTGACTGATTATCAGGATTAAAACACACTATGCATTGTCCATTAATAAATCCACTGCATGCACATAGGTTACAGATAATGTGTCATCTTTGGCTCTCACTGTGCGTTTGTGGGCCGAGGATATTTTGCCTTATCCAGCATGCCAGCAATCCATTTTTTGATCAGCCAGGACCCATTTTTATTAAATCCCTGCCAGAAATACATCATAAATCACACAACATGTACCAAGGAAGCATTTGACATCATTAAATGAAGCACAGTTTGGTGTTTCCAGAAATATTGTGCTACTGTTTTAAAGTCACTAAAACTTTACATAAAGAGCCTGCATGGATTTTTCACACACAGATATCATACCTGTTTATTTCAAAACACAGGCATTACATCTGTAAGAAAGCAGTCTGATCAAAACATTTGTAATTTAACCAACTGGGATTAATGACTCTAACTGCCTGTAATGCAAATATAGCTCAAAGTGGTCAGACCACCTCCAAAGGGTCCCTGTCAGCCTTTGACACCATCACAGTGACACTGTCAGGAAGACGCACAGCCAGCCTCTCCCTGATCACACCCAGAAAACCCCGCTCGCTGTTGCTATGATCAGTGAGGATGACGCTGGTTCCCTTTGCAACAGCGTCCAGCACTTCATGGTGGGACATCTCACCTGAAATATGGATATATTGTAGCATGTGGTGCTATATCCACAGGCATAACACTGGCAATAAAACAAACAATATCAAGCATAAACAAATCTTTTGCATAAAAATTGTATTTCTATTTAAAAGCTCTACCTGTGATGTAGAGGTTTGCCTTTGCTCCATTCAGTACTGAGGCCCCAGATCCAGCACACGCAGCCACAGTACAAACAGAGGACTCTGGAACATATTGGAATATGGACTTAAAATCAGCTGATTTATCTGCTTGATATTAAAACTGCAGACCACTGAGGACTGCACCAAACACTTGCCTAACTAGTAAGAGTTCATATCCTTCTCAGGGTACCAGTACAACAGCCGATTGTTTGCATAAGAGTTCACTACCTAGAGTCTGCCCCAGTCCTAGAGCCAAACGGATGTGACTCAAACTCAAGTGGGACTTCATTTTCTGGATGGCTTCCACCACAGTGATCGGCTGGTCCAAAACACAGACTCGCCCTTGGCCATGGCCCAGAAGAGGGGGCTGCAGGGAGTGACAGTTAGAAGAGTTATTTAAAAAATACAATAATTAGTTTTCTTTGAATGAAAACTGTTATTTATAATGGAAATACAGAATTCAGTCTAACTAGAATGCTGTGTGTTGAACTTCTTGTTGTGATAGCGGTGGTGCGTTCAGGCTGTACCTTCTCTAACTTTAGTATGCTGAGAGACTGGCTGGGAGAAGTGTGTCGTAACAGCGTCTGGACACTAGGGGTCAGTGATAGGTCACTGCAGATTACACTGACATGGATTCCACTGCTGTCTGGTCTGTTATGGGTGAAAATAAGCTGTTATTCACCAGTAAAGAGGAAATTAGTGGTGGTTTTGTTTAAATCGCCTATCACATATTCTTTATACTTTAAAATTCTACCGCTCGTTTGTTTGTTTTAGTACTTTTCAGTATGCTGCGTTAAGTTCTTGCTGAAAATAGATTAGTGCAATTGGAGCACATGCTTTTTAGCTTTAACTTAGGTCAGACACTCTTAAAACTCTGTTTGTGAGTGTCAAGACTAACTGGAAGTTTTTAATTAATGGGACACCAATTTGGCTGTGAAACTTAATTGCTAATTCATACACACATTCTTGAATTTGCACACTGGTCTGTTTAAACATGTACACAACCTGCTAATTGAATGCTGTAGTGCTGTTCCACCATCACAAGCGTTCAGTTCCTCTATAACAGCATTTAGTTCCTCAGCACTCCTGACCATGAATTCCAGTTTGTGACTGTGGGAGGCAACATCGAGGGCCTGACTCAGCACAGACACCTGGCCACTACCTGAGAGTGAAAGACACACACCAGAGATGGAAATAAAAGCACTCAGGGGATGAAAGAGTGGTTAGAACAGTTGGCGACATCAGGTGTCTCAACATTTAAGCCTATACCTTATTAAATATTTCCTTTCATAATGACCACTTACCAAGTCCACCAACCAGCCAGTCATTTACTCCTCCTTTAACATTATCCCACGAAGTGTGAGGGGAGAAGATTGCTATTCCAGCCTCCACAGCCTGAATGGCCAGTCGCTGCTTCCAGTCTTTCTGAACCAGGCGTTTGATTGGCCGAAACAATGGCGGGTGATATGAGATAATGAGATCACAGCTTATGGTCTCTGCTTCCTTCATGACAGCATCTGTAAGGTCATTGGTTAGAAGGATGGCTCTAACAGGATGAGATCTGCTTGGCTCGACCAGCAGACCAACATTGTCCCACGACTCGGCCAGAGACAGAGGAACCAACTGTTCCAGCAACTCCAGAACCTCCTTTAGCTCCATCGGGCCTGAACAATGAGCAGAACGAGAGAGGAAGCAGGTGGAGGAGAAATTAACAGATGAGTGTAGGGAGACTTTGTTTTCACAGCTGTGACTGTGAGAAGGTGAAGTGAGAGATAGAGGGAAGGAGGAAAATGTTGAGGTAAAACAACACTGAGCCGTCGGTGAGATCAAGCTCCTCCTGGTACACTGTCTTCTATATGTGAGTAATAAAAATGCCCCAGAGAGAGTTCTACATCCAGTCAACATCAGTGGAAACCTGTGAAGACAAAAGGAAAAGAATAGAATAATAGTATTTGTTCATTAATCATGTCCTCTGAAAATGTATAGCTCACAGTTGAGTTTTGATCATCATTCATGTACCATTTGCTGATTCTAGTTTATAAAATGAGACTTATACTCTCAATTAGCTAATGAATCATTCTGCATATAAAGCATATGTAACTAGATGTAAATTGCTGTTGTAGATTGGCAAAACCCAAATTAATGTTTTCAAATAGCTTGTTCTGAATAACAGTGCAAAATATAGTTAAGTTAATATCACATAAGACAGAGAAAAGCAGCAAAATCAAAATGTCAAATTCTGAATGTTTGGAATTTTACCAAGACATTTTTACTTCAGTGATTGTTCACTTATAACATTAGCTGCAGATGATTATTATTATTTTCCTCTAGTTGATTGATTATCTCTATTTGTTTTTCCCATTTTAATTTGGATCATGTTAAACTTTTTCAGTGCTCTCTAATATTTTATTATACATGACACATTAAATAGACGATAATAAAACATTCTTTGACAAATTATTCTGTAATGAATCCATAAAAGCACATTCCTTATATATCATACAAACTTAATCACCAGTCAACAGATGTTCACACTGAATGTAGCTACACTAAATCCAGTTTTTCCAGTCTTTTCTAATGAGATGGGCAGCGAAGATTTCTATGCTTGAAGCCTAAAGCCAAGTACATCCCTGTATTAAATACATAAAATGCTGCATTATTTCAACCCTTCTAGCATGACTTATAGCTGCGAGTAATGACTAGCACTGGCTGCAGAAGAAGCCTCCAGCAAACAGCAGAGCTAGCTAGTTAGCTAACATTAGCTACTAGTATACACTACACCGACGGCGCTAGAAATAATAACAAATACCCACATGTCAATAACGAGAACTTAATGTACTTTCGCTTGCCTTATACTTAACATATGGGTTGTTCAACACACTTTTCATGTAGAAACAGAACGTACAATGCTCTTACTGAAGAATGTCCCCTTCCGGCTTCCGTTTCCAAATGCTATTGAATTTGATTGGACAATAAAGGGGTTTTTTGCCTTTACTTTATTAAGGCACATGACAGTAGTTATACATAAGTAAATAGATCGGAAACAAGAGGACTATAGACCTACTGCATACAGTCTACACGTTTATAGCCGATGTCTATGAGAATTATCACTAAATATCAATATTCTAACTTTTCCAAAAGCAACCTATGCGGTTTTGTTGCATTAGGTGAAGCAGGAGCTGCTGTACTGCACGTTGTTGAATATTAACTCAAGAAGGGCTGTAATAACAGGGTGTAATCTGTATGCTTTTGTGTTATCTGTTATGACTTCAATTGATATTTTGGTCCATAGGCTACAACTGCAGAGTTCAGTCATTCTTTCTCAGTTCACTTTGTTCATGCTTATCTGTAGCCTGTACTTCAGTTCTCAGACTGGAGAAATTCAAATTAACAGTGCAGAGGAGGGATAGTGGTTATATTGGTAGAAGGATGTTGGAGATGGAGCTGCCAGGCAAGAGGTCAAGAGGAAGGCCAAAGAGGAGATATATGGATGTGCTAAAAGAGGACATAAAGTTAATTGGTGTGAGAGTAGAGGATGCTGAGGATAGAGTTAGGTGGAAACAGATGATTCGCTGTGGCAACTCCTAACAAGAACAGCCGAAAGAAGAAGAAGAAGAAGAAGTGTAAAAATGAACAGTTTCAAAATGACTGGAACATTTTGTAAACTACTTCATACACAACACATTTATCTGACAGCTTCACTTTAACCATGCAGATACAGCTCTTACATACAAAACATATAATCACCTTATGAAATATCATGATTGAAAAGCCTAAACAGAATATAAATCATAAATTAACTTTTGCTCTACAAATGTCGTGACTTGATGGCTACTCTTAGAGGGGTACATTTTCTCCTTATTTTAGTTTTAATACTTCAAGTTCATTTTGCATATAACAGGCTACTTGCAGTTGAGCACACATTGACATAATTATTATTTTACTTAGATGAAAGATTTAAATATTTCCTCCACTTTGATTCCCCCTGTACTAAACCATTACAGTCAATGTATTGAACATGTCCTAACATTAAGATGAGCGAAAATAAACATTCATTACTGATAAGAAAAAAAAATAGGAATAAAAAATCTGGCTGGTTATATCTTACTAAGACATATGTTTGTGATTTGTCGTTTACAGTAGCGGTCATCAGGACTAATTCAACTTTACTATTAGGCTTACAGTATTATTTTGGGGAACCTCCTCGGGCACACGGGGAAATTGTTGCAGCTTATCTGCCTGCTTCGGAATCATCGAAGAAGAGCACTTCCCTTTTCCTTTCGGCTCCCGCCCTCCCACCCCGCTCCGCCATCATGAAGTCCTGAACAAAAACGGGTGAGAGCAGAGCAAAATGGGGATAACACGAACTGGAGATGAAATCCGCGGACAACGTTAACGTAATGACACCACAAAGTGGAGCACGGAGCGGACCTGCGGAAATTAATGAATCACTTTCTCATTGAAAGCGTCGCAGGCAGCTCGTGGTGTTAGGTTATTTAGTTAGCGGCATTGCTAACAGCAGCTAGAGCTAGCCTCAGATTTTCTTTAGAAGACAGCTCTGCTACTAGCTACCTGGCTAGTGTAGCTGTCAGGCGTCAGTCAGCTAAATGTCACTTTAATTGACTGGCGCTATACTCATGTCAGGTCGTGCACTCGTGCTAGCTGACCAGTTGACTGGGGGCACCAGGATGGAGGGGACTTCGAGTAAAAGCATCGACAGACAGAATATGGTTTATTCGTGTTGAATAGACACCAGTGCCGAGGAAAGGGGAGTGATACCAGTATTTTCCAGCCAGGCCAGTTAGCTAGCCCCAGAGCTAGCTACAGTGGATCCCAAAAGCCACGGTAAGACATGTAAATCATTCACTATTTCAAAGCAGTCGAATGCAGTTCTATACTTAGGTTTGCAGGGGAAAGAGCAACTGGTATCATCAGGTACCACTTTCAGATCCCGGAGAGGTTGACATTGACATGCAGACTTGTGGTTGGCCTGCACCCTGAACACCCAGTCAGCCGGGAGTTGTTGTATGCTGGCAAATACATGTCATACATTTGTTTGATGAACAAGAGCACAGATGGCGTAATTGACCAGCCAAGTGCAAAAACATCTAGCTTGCAGAGCTGAGATGCACACTGTACAAGATACAGTTGACAAGCACGTATCTAGATAATTACTGCTCTGTTTCACTTGTCAAGGACGACATGCAATTCCCCCCCCCCAATAATATGCTCTGGGAGTTTCACGGTTTTAAAACTGCATTTAGGCCTGACAGATCATCCTGAATGAAACTGCATAATTGACACATTTGGTACTTCTTATCCAATGTTTCTGAAATGAGTATGACATCATGACATGGGTACGTTTTTAAAAAATACATTGAGAGCTTGGTTGCAAGATATAAAGAACTTCTCATTTTCAAAGGGAACCACACATTTCCTCTTTGACTGTACCAAAATAGGCATAAAATAAATTTTTAATCTGATGCATGTTTATTTTGAAAAATTTGGAAAGATTGATGTGACAGCTCAGTTAATCACTGACAACTTAAAATTTGCAGCATGGGTTGTGTCTCCATACTAACCCTCTGACAGAGTCTGAATGGTGCATGGTATTCTTTATGTTGTCCAGATAACTTGACAGGCAGTGCCTTGCATATCTTTCTCTTTTTAAAATGGAAGTGTGAAATGGGAGCCACTGGTGCACAAGCATTATAAACAACCTGTGTCACAAACACTGCACCATTATAACACTTGTATTCATTTTTTGGTTGCAAAAATGTTTTTGGCACCTGTGCTCCCCAAAATAATGTGAATGTTGTTTACAAAGGCTCTGACTGTGAGTAAAATTGTAGTTTTATGTAGGTCTTCTCTAGTAGCACATATAGTATGATATTCAGTTATTTAATAAACCTGTAATTATGTCTATTACAAAAGAAAAGAAACTTTATAAACTCTACAGAAAAAACTGGTGTTAAATGGGAGCATGTTAGCCTATTAAAAGGCAATACTTCCTGTTAGCCTATTAAAAGGCAATACTTCCTGTTAGATTTTACAAGTTGACCAGCACCATGCATGACAAATGTGTTCTCATGTTGTTTCATGTCATATTGCTGAACCCTATAAGACAGTTTTTGTATTATGTTTCTACCTTCAATACCCTAATGTTGGTTTCTAAAATAAATTACACAACTTGTATCTCTCAGTGCTTTATGTTATCATAACAACACTTCTTATTTGGCTGTATTTTTATAGCTGGTAAAGAAACCTCTGATTAGTATTTCAGAGGACTATCCAGGTTGTAGTGGTCAGAGCTTTTTATGCTTTATAAACAAAGGTAAAACTGATGGGCACACCCTTTCCTACACAGTTGGCAAATCATGGGCCCACTAAACTAGCATGCAGTGTACAAGTAAAATAACAAATCAGGTCCACTGTGGTACCTATCCAAACATTTTACAGCTTAATAGAAAACTAAAGCATAGTTTGTGTTTTCATAACTAACGTTAAAGACAAGCTGTCACATTATTTAGCCAGATTTTGTTGCATTTTATTAACTGGTTTCACACATGCACGCTGTCTAACAATAATGGCCATGCTGTCGAGTGTGAGGTCCAGTTAAGGACCAGTCAGAATCATTGTCAGGGAGGAATTATTTTTCTTTAGTATACAATGGAAAGATAAAGCATTTTGTGTGAATACATGAATCTCTAATAAGAGCAGAGGACATGAAAGGAAGCCTTTTAAGAAGTTGTTTGAAGAAAAAGATGCAGTATCTGCCATTTTAAGATATTTTGGTCTCTAAAAAAGATGATATAATGCAAAGACATTTCTCATTGCTAACTGGATCTACACATGTACTGTAGCTGGAGAAATTCTGTTAATTTGCAGTTTTTGAATATTGGAAAAATTGAAAAAATAAACCTGTGTTAATTGTTTTCATTGTTGTTGAGTGCTGTACTTTTTGCTAAAGATGGCTGAATGGATAAATAGCTGGGTGGTGGTCATTTGAAGTTGATAGGCATTTTAATATTTTCCATCCATATGAGCCATCATTGATTATTTTTGTAGTGTTACAGTTTAAATGCTGGTGTAGAGCAGGATACATTTGTAACTTATGAAGCAACAGGATTGACCCTGTAGAGTGGAAAAGCAAATGCTGTATGATGAGAGAGAGGGTGTTTTTTTTAGACATATGCATTTTTAAATAAGTGAATAATTTGGTACAAATGTGCTGGTGACTACCAAACTACTACATATTTATAGAGCTTTGGATGTTTAAAAAAATTTTAAGCGACATCATTATAGACAATTTCCTCAAAGGATCTACAGTACATGTGTCAAATGTGGACTGTGTGACAGACAAGACCATATTTCCTCAGCAGCTTGCAAATAACAGATGCTCACCCAGTGTGTGTCTGCCATGCTCACTAGGCGCTGGCCATGCCGTCGAGTGTGCGGGCCGGGAGCCTGAAGGACCCGGAGGTGGCTGAGCTATTCTGCAGGGAGGATCCTGAGAAGCTCTTCACAGACCTGAGGGAGATCGGCCATGGGAGCTTCGGAGCAGTCTACTTCGTAAGTTACTTTCTTTGGGGTTTGGGTACATAAAGTTAACGGGTTATTGGTGACGCACATAAATGTCTGATATTTGTTAGCACACATACAGACAAGTGACAAAGAAAAAACCTGAATAAATGAGTGGTCTCTTCCAGGATGATAGTGTTCCCATCCATAGGACATGAGGAAGCACCGATTGGTTTGATGAGTATGAAAATTATGTGAATCATATAATATGGCCTTTGCAGTCACCAGATCTCAACCCAGTTGAACACTTGTGGGAGTAATGTGTTAGACATCATCTCCACCACCATTTTCAAGGCACCAAACAAAGGAATGTCTTTTGGAAGAATGCTGTTCATCCCTCTAGTAGAGTTCAGAGACTTGTAGGGTCAATGCCAAGGAGCACTAAACCTGCTCTGGAGGCAAACTGGTGGCCCATCACCTGACTAAGACACTTCATGTAGGGTTTTACTTTTATTTGTCACCTGTCTGTATATAGGCCTGTGATGGCCTTCAACATTTGAATTAAGATACAGTTATCCTCTTGTAGGTCTTTCATCTATGTAATCTGTCCTAATAATGTGGATACATGAAACATAGAAAAGTTAAATTTAAACTGTATGAATTACAGGTGCAGAATTATATTTAGCTTGAATATTTATCAGGTCAGAGAATACAGTACAGAGAAATGATTACAGCCATTTTGGTTTTGGTTAGCAGCAAAATCTTTGCTTATAGGAACGCATGTTAAATCTGTCCTTGAATTCAAGAGTAAACATTTATTTCCTTGGTCTGTGTTGAGACCATGGACAGCTTTTCTCTTTTTTTCTGACTGTTAGCGTTTTTCAGTTTTTAAGAATTATAGGAATCTTGCATTGATTTTTGTTCCTGTCATGCATCCCACAGGTGGAAATTACTAGTGTTCAGACCATTAATCTTGTTCATATACCCTTGTTTTTAGTTTCTTTATAAACCGAAGTTATAGTGTTTGGCCCACATAACTCTGGTGATTTTCCCCCAGTTGATTTGGGTTGCTTAGAACGGTACGTGCAGTCGACTGTTACAAACCTGGGTGTTAAAATAGACTCTGATTTTAGAATGGAATATCAGGTGAATGCGGTTGTACGGGCCAGTTTTTATCATCTCCGGCAGCTGGCAAAGGTAAAGCCTTTTCTTTCGCGGCAGCATTTCGAATCAGTAATACATGCATTCATTACATCTTGTTTGGATTATTGTAATGCGCTATATTTTGGGCTCAGTCAGGTGTCCCTTGCCCGCCTTCAGAGAGTCCAAAATGCTGCTGCTCGTCTACTGGTTGTGTTGCTGCATCCCTATAGCCCCTCTCGGTGCCTCTGATCAGCTGCTCCTGGAGACACCGAGGGCTAGGAGGAGACTTAGGGGGGACAGAGCATTCTCTGTGGGGGCTCCTAAGTTGTGGAATGCACTGCCCCTCTACATTAGGCAGGCCCCCTTGTTGTCCACTTTTAAAACTTATTTGAAGACTCATCTGTACCGTTTGGCGTTCAAACCAGTATGAGCCTCTGTCTTGTTGAGCTTTTTTGTTTTATGATAGGTGGTTGTTTTAGTGGGATCCTGTTTTATTGTTGTGTTTATTGCTTCTGCTTGTCTTACTGTGTTTTAACGGGTTTTAGTGATATTGTGTTAAGCACTTTGGTCAGCTTCGGCTGTGTTAAACGTGCTATATAAATAAAGTTGATGATGATGATGATGATAAATACATACTGTAAGTCTTGTAATCCAAGCTGTTGGTTCATCTACAAGCCTAAAATTCTTCTGCTGATGTAGCAAAATCAAACAGCATGGAGAAGATAAAAGGCTACTCTTTCACATTGTTTAATTTGAGGTTATTCTGATGAATGCAGCCAGAGTCCACGTGGCTGAGGGAAAGAAGAGGTAAGCACAGTAAAGGAGAAGGCTTGACAGACAATGGATGTGGTGATGATGTGAGTCTGTTAGACAGGAGGGGACGTAATGCTTGTGCTGCCAATAGGGACACAAGGTGGATTAACCTGTGAGCTGAAAGGTGAAAAAAGAGGGAAAAGGGTAAAAACTTAGTGATACTCCAGGACGAAGGACAACTTGCAAGTGGTGGATGAGAAGCACTGTTAATGAAGGGTGAAAAGGAGCTTGTCCTGGATGAAGGGAGAAGACTGAAGAGAAAAGGGAAGGAGCCTCAGCAGAAATCTTTGTTTTATATCTCTTTGTTCTGATAAATGACTGATTAATCCCCGAGTTCTCAAGTGATTTTTGAGAATACAGCATGTCACACTGGTTCTGTCAGCTAAAGCAACTGATACTTAAAATTAACTGCAGTTCTGCTCTCAGCATTATAAAACAGGGCAGTTTCTTTGGTTTAAAGAAAAATTAAGAAGACTTAGCTGTTGTTGTTTTTAATCTTTCCACCTTAGGCCCATGACATCCGCACCAATGAGGTGGTGGCCATCAAAAAGATGTCCTACAGCGGCAAACAGTCCAATGAAGTAAGACCTGTCAAGTCTATAATGCTTTATCTGTTGTAGGTGTAAGGTTAGTTTGTCAGTCAGAGTTGCTCATCAGGGATTGTGGCTCTGCTCATGTTCCAGAAATGGCAGGATATCATCAAGGAAGTGAAGTTTCTCCAGAAACTGCGCCACCCCAACACTGTTGAGTACCGTGGCTGCTACCTGAGGGAGCACACAGCATGGGTAAGTGTGTGTGAACATGCGCTATCCTAGCTGTAAACCGACTATGTAGCACATATTTATGGCAGTTCTTTACCCTGTCACTATTGCTTTTATTTGTTGTTGCATGACTGAGATCTGAGTTGGATGTAATGAATGAATATAAAAGAGACTGATAACTCTGTCTCCACAGTAAACAAACTGCTGAGTGTTTAATGGTTATTTATTTCTGATTCAGAATATAACTACTAGGAAACCATTATCGAATCGCAATTTATTTCTCTCCTGTACTCGCTCTTTTCTGTCACCACTCTGTCTCTGTCAGGAGGTCAATAACAAAGCTTTGCTTTTTACTATTAACAGACAACCAGGCATTTTGACCCCTCATCTTAATGTTGGTAATCGTGGCACACAGCAATTCCCTTTTTTTCTATGAAGTGGTACGCTGGTTGTTGCTGTCACATGGTCCTTGTTTGACCAATCACTCACACTCAGGCCTGCAAACCCCACCCTCCAACAGCTGCTGTCATGCAGGAACTAAATTTAGTCCTTGACAAAGTGCAAGTTAGTTTCAGAGTTCCTCAAAATCTTCTTGGCCCCCTGGGGTGCAAACATTCAGATCAAATGGTTGCAGATATGTGATATATTATATAATTTTTTAAATAGATATTGTTATAATGATGCATACAGTACTGTATTTTTCTGTACATAATGACAGATTATGCTAAGGTGACACATTACCTAGTCTGATATAGAATCTAGGTGATGCTCCAGCTCTCTGGAAGCAAACCTCAGACTTCCATCTTGAGGTAGACAAATGTACCTTCACAGGATAACAGCTCTTACATTTTAATGAATGTACTGAAGTCTCAGGGAAAAGTACCTCCAGCCCTCTTTCCTTTTGAGTAGGGTGTGAAAAAGTCCTTAAACTTAGTGTGCTCCTGGGCTAGGGCTCCTTAAAAATGCATGCAGTTTAATACCCCCTCTCTCCGTCCTAGCTGGTGATGGAGTACTGCTTGGGCTCAGCTTCTGACCTTTTAGAAGGTAAGTAGGAAAAAACTAACACTAATGAGCTCATTATATATTTCACTTGTTCGTGTCAAATAATGCATGATGTCATCTCTCTTCACCCAGTCCACAAGAAACCCCTCCAGGAAGTGGAAATTGCTGCCATAACCCATGGTGCATTGCAGGGATTGGTGTATCTTCACTCTCACAACATGATTCACAGGTAACCCCCCATTCCTGTTCTCACTATCTGTATCTGTTCTGCTCTCCTCCCCCACACTCCTGACAAGAGACAAAACAAAGACAAGGCAGAAAGCACAAGCTGTGCTGCCTCAGATAGGCTTATGTAATGGTGTTTGTGCTCACACAGTGTAGAAACACATTTTCCTGCATCTTGCTACTGTACTTCCCATCCTCTTAAGAAGTGCGTCTTCCCTCTCATGTAGCTCTGTTTTGTCCTCCTCACAGTTGTCACTTTCTCTTACCTGATTGTTTCTCTCTGTCAGGGATGTGAAGGCAGGAAACATCTTGTTGACAGAGCCAGGTCAGGTCAAACTAGGAGACTTTGGCTCTGCCTCCATTGTTGCCCCGGCCAACTCCTTTGTGGGAACACCTTACTGGTAAGAACTTAGTGTAGATCATACTTGTATCCTGTCATTTCGTAGACCAACTGAAGTATTCTCTAGTGTATCTATGTTGTTATATATTATAACACAGTAAAACACAGACATTTTAGTTGTATTTCCTTGGAGTTTAGTCCTAGTTGATGTAGCTGTAGTTTATTCACACAGGTCACAGAAATCTGCAGGCAGCAGACACTCACTGAGCAGCTACTTTGACATGACCACTGTCATGTTTTGTAGACATTTTTTATGAACAGTTGGGGTTTGCTTTGACCGCAGTGTTTTCTGTGCCTGCTTCACAATAAAGCCAAGTCATGCTTCACCAGGTGAATGCTTTTAAAGCAAAGCTGCAGCATTAAGAAGTAATCACTGTGCACTAGCAAACATTTAAGGCAGCTCTGTCAAGGTGAATAGAAAACAGAGAGGCTAATATCAGTTACACAAAATTACATTAGTTTATATACATGCGTTGTTTCCTATGAATCCCCTATGTGTGTGAATGTATTTGGAGTTTTGTGTGGGAATGGCAGACTCCTCCACTAACAAGTAAAACTACTACCCTGTATAGAGAAAGTTTTACTGAGTGTAAATACATTACATGGCTATTGCAGATAAAATGCCGACCATAAATCAAAAGATGAAAAATGCAATTTATTTGCATGAAAATCTTAAGGATTACAATTTTACATTATGCTTAAGTTACTTTACAAAAGTACTATTTTTATTTTCTTATACTATTAAAATAAAGTCTCATTACTATTTGTTCAGAGAAGGAGAGAAGTGCTTCTTCAGTGACTATCTTTATCCCCGCCCCAACCACAAGACATTTGTCTCCTCATGCCCGTAGTGGTGTCAGTGTCATGCAGTTGTATTTGCATTACACCAAACTTGAGATGTGACTGCTTGCCTGTGGCTGGCTGTGCCTTGTTTATCGTCATGTTTAAAAAGTCAGACTGTTCCAATAAGGCTGTTTGAGGTGCCTTAACAGCAAGTGTTTTGTATCTTAGTGTCACTCAGTACTTGCATTATTTGCATATTTCTCATAAGGGTATCGGGTTCCACTATTCAGCCACTTTGCTGTTACTGTACATAAAGCAGCCTAACCCTCATTCCATTCATGTGGGAGGATGGTACAAATGGCAGTGAGCCCTGAGGTGCTGTTCTCTGTTGGTCCAGGATCAAAGGAAGACAGCTGGAAATGGCTGAATTAGCTTTGTTATTTCCTCCATGCAGGATGGCTCCTGAGGTGATCCTGGCCATGGACGAGGGTCAGTACGATGGGAAGGTGGATGTGTGGTCACTTGGCATTACCTGCATAGAGCTGGGTGAGAGATGACTAAAATGGTCTACACGTTTTTGTTTACAACTTTGACAACATCCAACCCTTTTCTTAGCTTTTTACTTTTTTTTTTTCTCCCTTTGTTCTTTATCTGTCCCTCTCTGTCACGCTGTGTCATGCCTTGTCACTCCTTAGCGGAAAGGAAGCCGCCTCTGTTCAACATGAATGCTATGAGTGCCTTATACCACATCGCCCAGAATGAGAGCCCTGTGCTGCAGTCTAATCACTGGTGAGAGATGGTGCAACTTCCTAACTAGTGTGTATGCTTTTTAGGCAAATAAGACGTTTTATTGTCCTGTGAGTTTGAACTCAGTGTGAGACTTAATGTGCAAAGAGAAGCATTTTCTTAAGCTGCTTGAAATGAATTGGAAATGTTGCTTTTATTAAAGAAAATCTATAGTGTTACTGAGGCTCTTTCAACAATTTTTTCAAAGCAGTGATTGTAAACAAATACATATATATTTAACTGAATTTAAGATGTTTCTTAGCATTACCAGGAATCCCCCTCCATGTATGAGGTGAATTGGGCAGTTTCAGTAAAGCCATGGCTGATAAAGTGCTGATGAAGGAAGAAAAAATGTAGTCTGTTGCAGTAAGCATTTCTTACTTTGTGCTTTCCGACAATTAAGAGGCTCACGTTGATGGTTACATCATTTGTTCACTTTAAATAAAAGCTCAGCAGCTAAATATTTTTTGATATCCTGTACTACACAGAGCTTTAACAAATAGACCATCTGAATACAATTGTCTGTGTTGCAGCTGTACAACACACAGTGACTTGGAAGAATTTGACCTCCTTCACTTTTTGTTGTAGCTTTAATTCTAAATGGAAAAGCTGAAATTGCCCATCAGTCTACACTAATCCACAATAACAAAGTGAAAACATTTATTGTGCAAAAAGTGTGACTTTCTGTAGTGAATGTGCGTGCATACTGCCCAAAGTGTGACTTTCTGTAGTGAATGTGCATACTGCCTTCATTTATCGGAACACCAAGCACGATAGTGAAATCAGCACCTTTATAATGACCGTATCGTCATTTCCAGGTCGGATTATTTCCGCAATTTTGTGGACTCCTGTTTGCAGAAGATCGCCCAGGACAGACCTACCTCTGATGTGCTGCTCAAGGTACAAGGGGTCAAAAAAGAGACTTCATGCGGCATATTAATGTAGGCACAGACAGACAGGCTGATTAAGGAGAGCTTTTAGCCAGTGAGAAAATGTGTTTGAATTGCAGGAATGAAAATAATTTGTATATTCTAATAAAATAATGTACTGTACAATATGTATAGGGCACAAATTACCCAGAGAGGGTTTGAGCCCCCAGATTGTATGGGGTTACACAGCCATATAGTACTGTTCAAATTTACACCAGGTGTTCTTAAAGTCTGTTTATTTAAAATAAGTTGCTCCACTTCAGCTTTTTATAATTAGTACTGCAGCCAGCAGTTACATGTTTAATAGACATTGTAGTGGTCTCTCATCATGTCCTGTTTTGTATAGGCAGCTTAGTAGAGTGACAGTCAGTGTCACTTAGCTGAGTCCATATCAAGTCAGAGACCACCATCCCCTCCAACCAGAAAATGCCTTCAACATAAACTTGGCTGGTTTTCCAGAATTACACAAGTAGCTCTAATGAAGACTTCTGAAAACATGACATTTCCTTCTCATCAGTCAAATCATTAAAAATGCTGAGACAAGGCTGTATATACATCACTCAGGTCAATAAAGCACATGACCTATAAATTTAGAGCTCGGTGGAGCAACTTCTCCTTTCTCCTGTTAAAAAGAGATGTATTGAAAAGGTCTTTTGCTCTTACTGCAGTTGATAAACATAATCTCTGTGGAAAGGAAAATAATCATGATCAGCACCTGAGCTGTAATCACCTTGCCCCAAAACTAGCATCCCAACTCCTCTGTAGGTTTCATGAATTGAATTGTTCACTCTGTCCCTGTTCATTTCTGTTTTCTTTTCTCGTCCCCTCTCCCTCCACCCAGCACCATTTCCTATGCAGAGAGCGTCCCATGACAGTTGTGATGGACTTGATTGCACGAACCAAGGATGCTGTCCGTGAGCTGGACAATCTTCAGTACCGGAAGATGAAGAAAATCCTCTTCCATGAGGCACACAACGGTCCTGTGCCAGAAGGAGGTGATGATGAAGAGGTAAGAATGAGAGACCTGAGGTAAAAACAGCAGGATGGTTAGAGATGCATTGACAGATGGAATAAATACCAGTTATAACTGGGTTTCAGCTCTTACTTTATGCTCGCTTTAAGAATAGATTGAGCTGATTTTGTGAAGTAAAATTTTTTATTTTATATTTTTTAAAGGAAGATGCATGTATAAGGGTCTCTATGGGAAAGCAACTGTTTTAGCACTTAGCAGCAGTTTTTCATTTTCATTCATTCCCAAAAAATTGTGTTTTCACACGTTTGGAGTTCTGACAATTCCTGTTCTTCCTTTTCATTAGGATGTGGAGCAGTATATGCTACGCACTGGCACAGTGAACAGCATGGAGAGCTCCCACTCTCTGCCATCAATGTCAATCAGCGCCAGCTCCCAGAGCAGCTCGGTCAACAGCCTGGCAGACGGCTCCGACGACAGCGGGGAAATGGCCATGATGCAGGAGGGAGAGCACACCGTCACCTCCAACAGCTCTGTCCTGCACAAGCCCCTGGTCAGTGCCAAAGCCCCATATTTATTTAAATGACCAGTGTGTTTTAGTCTTTAGTTCTTGGACTACATAAAGTTAAAAGATTAGTCAGCTGTCCTTACATCACCATCTGCTTTGTCTGCACTGTGTAGAGCCATGACAACATCTACGACGATCCCTATCAGCCAGAGGTCGATTCACAACGAGAAGCTTCATCTGCCAGTGGCGGTGGTGGTGGTGGCGGCGGAGGAGGAGGGAGACGGCGTCGAGGCCGAGACCATTTTGCCACCATCAGGACAGCCTCACTTGTCACTCGTCAGATCCAAGAACATGAGCAGGGGTCGGCATTGAGAGAGCAGATGTCTGGGTAAGGTGGCAGTAGTGTTAATGCCATTTGCTGTTTTAAAGGGAAGCGAAAGAAACCACCTGTCAGGTTTATTTGTATAGCCCATAATCATAGCTACAGTTTGAATGGGGTCTGCAGTAGGGCTGCCCCATAATAGTTGAGTCATTAGTTGAGTGACCTGTCAGTCGACTGAGACTCTTCTAGTCAAGTTTGTTTTTTTTTGTGTTTTTTTTTGTTATATTATGCAGTGAAACTTGCGATTAGGAGCTGGACTAGGAAGCTAACAAAAATACAGAATTATAAATAAGAGGAATCATTTGTAGTGCAAGCTGGCACACATCACACACATATTAACAACATGCGCTGTGGTTAACTGATAGGAGAAGCTCAATCTTCTTGGTAAATTGGGAAGTAACCATGTCTCTAAATTAAAAATTGCCTTTAGGAGCATTGTTTCAACAGAAATACAAGTGTGCTGTCTGTCTTGTTATTCTGACAAATCCATATTACAGCCCTACATTATATATCATAAATTTAAATGGGTTGCATCATATGCAGTTTTGATTTTTAAATGCTTAGAAGTATGTTCCTGTCACTCTTTTGCATCTAAATACGATGTTAATGTGGTTGAAATCATCACTGAAATTCATGATGGTTGATTTTCTGACAGTCTAGGCTATTATATTTGAACTTCAAAGAGAGCAAAGAAAACCTGATTAGGAATAAAATGTGAGTCAAGCAGTGTCCGTGTGCTCTTGGAGCTTACTTTGTCCTTCTAGCTAACTTCATGCCCTGCGTCTCCTCACAGGTACAAGCGAATGCGGCGGCAGCACCAGAAGCAGCTGATGGGCCTGGAGAACAAGCTCAAGGCAGAGATGGATGAGCATCAGCTGAGACTGGACAAAGAGCTAGAGAATCAGAGGAACAGCTTCTCAATGGAAGGAGAAAAGCTCTCTAAGAAGCACCAGGCTATCATGGAGAAGGAGGTGAGCCGGTGGAGGAGGAATGGCCGAGGGTGATATGAAGATATGGTCAAATAGCAAGTAACACAGTCACTGTCCTGTGTCATTTTATTTTGCCTTTTTTTTTTATCTTGTACTTATCACAACCTGATGTTAAAGAGATTGTCTTTTGTTTCATTTCAGACAAAGGCAGTCTTGACTGAGGAGAAGAAGTTCCAGCAGCACATTCTGGCCCAGCAAAAGAAGGAGTTGACCAGTTTGCTGGAGTCTCAGAAACGGCAGTATCGACAGCGCAAGGAGCAGCTCAAAGAGGTGTGTCAGTGTTTTATCCTTCAGTCAGCTGCAGCAGCAGCTCACAGCCATTTGCTGAGCAGTGGTTGAGACAATCATCTGTGGTGAGAGAATTATGGATAGAGACACATTCCCTTTCAATTCTATTTTTTCACTTAAGGAGCTGAATGAGAACCAGTCCACACCAAAGCGGGAGAAACAGGAGTGGCTGGTGCATCAGAAGGAGTGTCTGCAGCTACAGGCGGAGGAAGAGGCAGGTTTGCTGCGACGGCAGAGGCAGTATTATGAGCTACAGTGTCGCCAGTACAAGAGAAAGATGCTGCTGTCACGTCACAACCTGGAGCAAGATCTGCTTCGAGAGGTACTGTTTTTCTAAAACTAAAATAAATAAATGCAGGAGGATTCAAATACATTGGCACTGGCGTAGGACCATATACTGTTTAGGAATGTGTAGCCAGATTTCTAGTGCCACCAGGAAATTTGCACTTCTGTTTCTGTCACTAAATAAGAAAAACTAAGTGTCTGCATTAGGGCTGTCGCTAACGATTATTTTGCTGTCGAATAATCTAACGATCATTTCTTCGATTAGTCAAATAATCATGTGTGTG